TCCTAGCTTTTTCGAAATGGATTTGTTGGATCTCTATCAAACGCTTAAAATGTATCTGAATTCGGTGGAAAGCTAATGAGACTCACTTCTCCATGTACACTGCGAGTTGGGAGCTTAAAAACTACTATCCATCGCTTCACATTGTTTCTGTTCAATCACCACTAGAATCACTTGAAATTGATTCTTGTCTGCTCTCTCTACACTGACCCTATACTCTCTCACCGTAATCACTTCCATTAGAGAATCAAAAGTAAAGCTCAAGAATTAGAGGGATAATAAGCTCTACCAAACTGGCATAGTCCTATTTTTTTACATGTTTAGCCTTGCAAAATCGCTATTGGATAGCCAAAGTGTCCGTGTAAACGTGGACTCCCACATAACACATACTATAGCATATAGGTTGATTTGTTTTCCTATGTTATATAGGTTGACGAAAACAGTGATCGAATATTCGTCTCCTAGTCACTCTTGGCAAACTAGGGTATTACGTGGTCGGTGCTACTGTGGCTCGCAAAGCAACATTAGGCTCCCAAGCATGGACAGTACATTAATTTGGTGGCTACAGTCACGCCTTTATTTCGGCACAGTACATAGGCCTAGTTAGACTTACCCCATATTCGCTTTTCGGCTTCTTTTTCAGCGGAACAGTGATTTTTCTCTCACAACAATTCAGCCCGAGCAATGTTTTTTTTCGTGCGGTTTTAACCAAATTTCAGACCAAATGAGCGGGGCCATATAGGTTTGACTACACTTGCTTCATCTGTTGATCTTTTTCTTTAACTTATCTTCATGTTCATATGGTCTGGACACATTCATCTATACCTACTATTTAACAGGTAAAATTTCAGCCTTTTTTTCCATCCATTTGTTTCATCCACCTCTCTTTAACTAACTTTCAAGTAATATAAAAATTGTCTCTGCTTTCGTTTATCTATAGCCCTCCTGATTTATATATGACATACACAAGGCTTCTTGAGGTAATATGGATAGCTAGGACTCCTAATCCTAATCCAAATAGATTGTTCCTATTATGAGTAATAGTCATGATCCGAATAGAAAAGAATTGGATAGCTAGCAATTCTAATCAAACATATTTTTCTAATTCTGAGTAATAAGCGTCCGTGTTCGAATTGGTATGGTTCCTTTTCCCACGTTCAGCGTCCAACTTCCTGTTCTAATTTCGTTTCCCCATAAATATCAATAATAATATTATACACCTTTGAACCTTTAATGTCTTCTTTAAAAGATATATAGCTGTGAACGCTAAGATTTTTGTGTTCGGTGATTGTACATAAAAAGTCATCTACTTTTCTGTTTATTATAAATCTAATGAATAAACAATAAAATTATTACTATACTAGTGAGGGTCCGAGCGTTCATGTATAACTTGTTGACCCCTAGGGTGCCGCTAAGGCATGTTTTATTGAATATTTTCTCTACCTTAATACAAAGACGTACAAACCTTTTGCGTGTTCGTGAAAAAATTACATAATTAAAGATTTTTTATTTTTAACATGATCATGAGATACAAGGATTTTTTCTGTTGTAAAATACAAGTACATTTGCTATCTATATATTCTTATACAATATTAAAAGAATTTGTTCTCTAGATTTTCGTTGTTTGCTCTCTTTATTATCTCCACCAGTTCATCCATCTGTTCATTTCTCCGAGCATAAGAGTTTACGATGGTTTCACTAAGAGTGGTATGTGATGAATTATTGATACGAGTTGTGATTAGTTTAATATCTGGTCTGTGACCTGAGCTCACGATCGATGTTCATACGAGTTAGAAACACATCTAGCCACGATACAGACTCGGTTTCCGAGACACGTTAGAATAGATGACTACGTATCTTCCGTTGCAACACACGGGCATGTTTGCTAGTCATAGAAAAAAGCAGTACCTTCAAAACGGCGTTCCCTTGTGCCCTGTCAACATTGGAAGCAGCAGCGCAACACTACTGCACGGTTAAACCAAACATTTTTTTGAGGGAAGGTTAAACCAAACATGGAAAGCATTTGGCAAAGATTTCTGGCCTCAAATTAGGGTCACCTTGAGGCCTATTTTGAAAGCCAGAATCCAGATCGACCATCTTATGAGCTTAAACTGTTAGGCCTTAGGCCCAGATGAGAACCTGAAGATGATCGAATGCTCGAGGGCCAGGCATTTGCTGACTTTGCCACGACACACAACAATATAGATTGGATAATCTAAAAAACAATATAGATTGGATTTCTCTCCTTATATAAACTCCAAAACCGGACATCTTATCCCTTCTCCCTCAACTCTTAAAACAATTTAAATTACCAGATTAAAAGAGGTTTTGGTGGAGTTCCATTTTCAAAATTTAAAATCAGTAAATACCCACGAAAATGTCTCTAAACTTCTAAAAACTCCGAGAAAACCGTAAAGGTAGATTGAGATGCAAAAACCCAACTAAAAATATTTAGATAAGCTTCCAAAATCATAGTTAATTATAGGAAAATATCAAACAAAGTCTAGAAAAAAATTCTAAAACATTTAATCTATGTATAAAGGCGTATTAAAAAATTTTGACAATAAAATACTATATGCAACCCGGTAGGAATCCATTTAGCATTAACATATGTTGCATTCATGTGGGGTTGTATCTCATATTTTTGGTGTGGAAAAATATAAAATGTGTTTATACATTGATCATAATGTTTTGAGGTTTCTCTGTTCTTTATATTTTCTCCATTTTTCTAGAGCTAAATACATTTTTGTAAGCTTTAGAGATACTTCATGAGCTTTAAATATGTTATTTGGGTTTTTCATGCCCCAATCTATCTTTAGAATTTTCTCAAAAAATTTAGAAGCTTAGAAATAATTTTCATGATTCAAAAGTTTATTAAGTATTTTAAAAAATTATTTAAAACCCATGAAAGTGCCATAAAAACCACTTCTAACTACATAATGGATGTAATTTAAATGTTTTTTTAGAACTATGGGGGAGTAAAATGTCCTATTTTGAAGTTCGATGATGAAAATCAAACCACGACTATAGTAGAAGAAGAAAAATGTTTCCCCCCTGGTTTATTACTTTCTTCTCCGTTGTGGCTTACGAGACAAAGATAGGAAAATGTCAATTTGATCGCCACAACTATTGACATCATCCAATTTTTCTCCTTAAAATACAAAACCAAATATCATATACCCTAAATTGTCTAATCTAGGATAAATCACACCCCTAGTTGGTCTTGACAAAAGTTTTAGCCTATATGGCGCCATGTTATCCTCAAGGGGGTAAATTGGACTAGTCGATAATTCATGGTTAGATATACATGTGCAAAATTAATTTAGAAAAATCATAGAAATTCTATTTAGCTCAAAAATGTGAAGCAAGAGCTTTATATTTTCCTAAAATCATACTCTATTTTATGGCACGTAGCTTGGAGTTATTTGAATCTTCTCTGTCTCCTTTTTGTGTTTATTTTAGTAAATTATCTCCTCATCTCATTATAATGATTTAAAGTTGATGACCCAGGACTACATAGAGGGATAGGTGACTTGACCACAACACGAGTGTCACTTGATCCTATCTCGACCATGTTAATGTTGGTCCAAATAAAACATGATATGTATCATGCTGCACTAATCTTATCTCGGTCAAAGATAATTGATGTCGAGTTTAATTGAGTTGACTTCGAAACCACACACGATAATTTGGTCATTGCTCAATGTGCCTAACTTTTGATCAAGTGATACTTATGTTTGTGGTTACATGACAATTGTGTTTTTAAGTCAAGTCTTTTGGCCTTCTTCATTTTATTCAAACACGTCTTGGCCTTCTATTAGCGTGGGATATCAACGCTAACTAATTATAATTATAATAGAAAAATGAGGGCATCTACTAGTAAATAAAAAAGAGACCATAGAAAAACCAAATAACTCCAAACTATATGCCAAAAGATAGTGCGATTTTAGAAGAAAAAAACTAGATTTCATACCTCTTCAAACTAAAATAATATTTCACAATTTTTCTAAGATCAAACAAGATTTTACAATTTTGAATAGCATATCGTCTTCTGAAAAGTACATGGACAATTTTATTAAAAAATATTTCTATATGTTTCATAAAGTCCATTTGACCCTGAACTAATATAGTCAATCTATTCCCCACAGGTGCTGACGTGGCATGTCCACTAAAACCACTGTCAAATCAGCGTGGGATGTGATTTGTTTGGTATTAAAATAGTACTCCTCCGTTTCAAATTATAATTCGTTTGACTTTTTTTGACATCAAGTTTGATCAACCGTCTTATTCAAAAATTTGTAAAAACATAGTCAAATTTAAGTCATTTTTGAAGAACTTTTGTTAATAAAGCAAACCATAACAAAAGAAGTGATATTTTGCACATTTTTTGAAAAAAAACGCAGTGGTCAAACTTGGGGTCAAAAAGTCAAACGAACTATAATTTTGCAACGGATTTAGTAGTTTATTAGGGTGTAAGATATCTTGTTTTGTACTTCAAATAGGAAACTCGGATGGCGTATATCTGAGGTCAAATGAACTCTTTCCCACAAAGATATAGTGAGAATGCATTCGACCCGGCGCAGGCCCAGCCAAGCAAAAGCAGGGGCGGACGGGAGACGGAGTGGGCCGCAACTGCCTCTGTCGATATGCAGGAGTATTTGACAATCGACGGGCCAGGGTTTTGCTGTTGATGGACGCGCAGAATATCGCACAAGTTTGAACTTTTGACGAAAAAAATATCCCAACTTCGGTCTTGTAGGCTCGCACTCAGCATTCCTCGAGCTCCAGGTCACGGGCTTCCAATTGTTGGCCACGTGATGCTGTACGTGCTCGTGCACTTTCCAGGAGCCCAAAATAAGCAAAGAGAGGGGTGTTCTTTACGTAGATTTTTTTTAGTTAGATCGAAATCTCAATCAATACTCAAAAGTTGCTGTCGTGTTTTAGTTTTTTACCCCTCCACTTTCTTAGTATTTGTCCTAATTTTCTCCTCTGCTCCATTGCCATCATTCCTCCTCTTTCCATCCTGGTGAGTGAGTCTCTTCAGTTGGACGGTTGCGCGAGACGCGGAAGACGCAATCGACGTGCGGTGCGTGGGACCTTATTGTCAGGGGAGCGATCGAAAGAGTGAGGGTGTGGCCGAAGAGCCAAAGAGTTTGGCGCGCACAACATAAGCAATGATGGAAAATGATTCTGATGCGGTCGTTGAGCACCGCGTCCGATCGATCCATTCGTGAAATTTCTCCTGCCGCCACAACCTTTACGCAGCAAACATTTTCGCACTCGCTCTTAGACCACACAATCGTATGATTTTCTTACATTAATTTGGCAGGCACGCCGTCGAATTTACTACTGCTACACTCTTAGCGTGGCTTGCATTCCCATTTCTCACTTTCTCATGATGCTGCCAGTGCCAAGTTCACTCTCCACCACCACCACTCAGCCGTCGTTCACACACAATTGCAAAAGACCCGAAGGCCGAAGCTCCGGCGGCGATCGATCAGTAGGAGGCCGGCGGCGGGAACCGGGAGCCGGTGGCGAGAAGCAGGCGACCCGGAAGCCGGTGACGAGCGCGGCGAGTGCCAGGAAGGCGAACCCCGCGAAGCCGAGCCCCACCGCGACGTCGGCCCGCACGCACGCCGCCGCCGTCGTGGCGGCCTCGCTGCCGCTCGTCGTCCACCCTTCGTCCCGCCCTCCGCCGCCGCACCCGCCGCGTCCCGCGCCGCCGTCGCCGCCGCCGCCAGCGCCATGTAGCCGAATCCCTGCATGCATGCGTGCGAGCGTGCACAAGCTTCCTGATCAGCTCCCACTCCCAGCGGGCGCCATGCATGGCCGTAGCCGATCGAGTACAGTATGTCCTTATGTTACCTGGTCGTGGGCGAAGTCGAACCAGAGCTGCATGGCCTCCGGGAGCAGCGTGGCGCCCCCGGCCACCTCCCACGCGGCGGCGGCGGCCTCCGGACGCCGAGTACACCGCCACGATGGCGTTGGCCGCCAGCAGGAACCGGAACGGCGCGCGCCGGGCGTGGCGGCGGCGGCGAGCGCAGCCGCGGCCGCGGAGGCGCACAGCGCGCCCACCCGGAGCAGGAGCAGAAGCGTCGCGCCGCGCCGGCCCCGCCGCGCCGCCGCCGGCTGCTTCATCGCCTGCTGCGCCTGCGCTTCCAGCGCCCACCCGCCGCCGTTCTGCAGCGGCATCGTGGACATGGTCTGCCGCTGGCCTCGGCTGAGTCGGCTTGGCTCAGCCTCAGCTCGGTCAGCGACGGTGACCCCGGTCGATCTTCTGGCGTTCTCTGATGCTGGTATTTGTAGAAGGCTCGCCGGGGTGACGGGGTCACGGCCTCACGGGCGGCAGGGTGCCGACGTGGCGCGTCCAGGGTCCCACATGGCGGTGATCCGGTGACGGCGGCGAGAAAACTGAAAAAAGGCAAAGAGGCGGCCAGCTGCCTGGCCAGGTGTGCGGCGAGTGGTTGGTGTGGACATGTGACCGGATTAATGGTGGCATGGATCAATGGGGAGTATGCTTGTGACGCCATCCTATCCTAATTGCAGGGGCCAACTCACAGGTTCTTCACTAGTATTCCGTACCCGAAAGAAAGAACGAACTTAACACAGGAAATAGATAGTATACTAGCCAGTGCCCCGCGCGGTGCCGCTGTAATGAGAAATATGTGCAGAGAATGTATTATTCATTTGATATGTCCTAAAAAAATTACTTTTTTAGGAAAAAAAATGTCTAACCTAGTATAAAAAATAGTTGTTTGTGAGTGCCTAGCATTGAAAAGGAAGAGAGCAAAAATAGGGAAAAACACAAGTAAGTTTAAAAAAAGTAGGTAGCATGCAAGGAAGAGAGCAGTAGGAAAAGGGAATAAAAGGAAAAAATCATTCGCTGCAGTAGTCGGGTATGGTATCCAAAGGACGGAGAGAGCATGGGTTGGTACAGTAGTCGAGTACTGCTTATTAAAGGTTGCTAATGTTTGAAGGTATGTATTGTTGGTAACGGGTAAGTGCTTTTTTTGAAACGGGTTTATATTGTTGCAAACAGATTAAAGGCCGCTAATGGTTAATGGGTGTGCACTGTTGTCAACGGGTATGCACTGTTGTGTAATGGGTAAAACAGTTGCACAGAATCCGTTACTATACAGTTCGGGCGGTACCGTTGTACTGTTCACAGAAACGGTGTTTATATGAGAGGGCAATGCTGGTAAACAGTGATCTGTGAGGGAGGGGTTGGTATATAGCTTTAGGAGTACAGGGTAGATAGGGTGATATGTATAGTAAGTTACCATAAACCCAAGTCATTTATTGTTCGAAATATAAAGACACATACTAGTTCTTCAGGAGAAAATAAACAGAAGCAAATGCTATAATATAATAACTAACAAAATGAACCAACATTTTCCTTATGAGTGTCTAGTGACATTTCAATCCATATTGAGTAACTCCTCCCCTTTCAAATCCACATCACATCTGATACAGAACAAAATCTATTGTATCAAAAAAAAAGTGTCAAAACGGCGACTTATAATTTAGAACGGGGAGAATAATATATATTTAGGCGTATAAAAAAAGTCATGTACATAAACAAAAATCAGAAAAGTTAACAATTTAGAATGGATACAGTACTATTTATTTAGGCGACGGTTTAGTAGAGATAGATATTTTTGTTCGAGTCTGCCTGTCATTGACCGGTCCGCAGCGGAGGACTCACCTCACGCTTGATGACACGACGCCTTACACTGCTACTAGTCGTCTTCTCCCTGTTGCAATCGTCATCCTATAGTAGTATCGGCCAAACTGACGTTGAAGAACGATCGAGACGGCCGGCATGCATGATCGATGCACTCTCCGTGCTACTAGCGCTAGGTCCACCGGCGGGGGCTGGCTATAGACGGTAGAGAAGTCAACCTGCTGCTGCGGCTGCTCCGATCCAGATGGAAGGAGAGGAGATGGCCAGACCCACATGACATGGGCGACGGCCGCCGCGTGATCCCCGTGAACCTGGCCGGCCGGCGACCGCAAAGCGCAGAAAGCAGAGCGGAGTAGCTGATCGATAAAGCATGAAAGCCGCAGCCGCCGTACGTGTACGTGTCGGCGTGTACCTTGGAGCCGGGCAGCCGGCCGGTGGTTCTTCTGTCGTTTAACCTTTTTTTATATATTTTTTCGTAATTTACGAAAATAAATACAGTATGGATCTCGTATAAATTCTCCAAAAATATACCTAAGTCGTCTTTTTCGATGGACGAAAAGCACTGATCATCCTATACCATAGAACGAAAAGTAACGAAACGGTTTGCAACGATTCTACAGATATAGATGAAAGGTGCATTTTGTTCTACAGGTAGACGAAAATGTAACTTTAGCTAAAATATATCTTTTTGCCGGGGTTTTTCGTCAGTGTTTTAGCTATGGAAATCTCCTATACCTGAATAGAAGAACTCCACTAGCATATTTTCTAGGTTTCTCAGCATAGCCACGTCACCACCTGTTATTTGTTCCCTTCCGTTTCCCTATCGTAATTGCAAGAGCTTATTGCTTTCATGTTGGATCACGTACAAATGCGGTTAGGTTGGACACCAATCGAACAGCCACACATCGATTCATATGCCACCATAAATGCATGCACATGCTTGGTAACTGTCGTTGGCATGCAAAATGTCATTGCGCTCATCTTTAAATACGTACTTGCGCGTAGAGGCATGGTACTGCTCCACTCCAGTAATCTAGAAGGCCTGCTGACAGTGAATTAATGCAATTAAGAAAGCGATGAGTCCGCATCCTAATCGCTTTAAATCAACAGCGCACGGGGACATGAGTCTGACGCTGCTGCGCAGGGACATGATAGGCGTGGGCTGCCATGGGCACACACAGCCGGAGGTGGAGGATGTAGGGCGCATCGCTTGGCGCTCGCCGTCCATCTCCACACGTCGCCCTGCACTATGCCTGTTTCGCGGAAGACTTCGACCCCATCATGACCTTTTTTACGAGAGATCAGAGATGGATAGGGCCTTCACTAAACTACCCATGCATGTTCTACTCGAAAGTATACTCAGTTGCCGGGCGCATGCAGATACATGAGCTCCAGCATCCCTACTGTCATCATCGTCTCTCGGAGACTTGGAAGTGTAGTAGCGATCATCGCTCAATTTTTAAAGTATAGACGGTGTTGTTTCTAACGAAAGCAAATGACAGAACCAAAATAATGTCATTTAATATGTTATTTTTATTTTCTCCGGCCCTATTTTTTATAAGTAAATTGTGAAGTTTTCTCAGTAGTCCTTTAAAAAGGCGGACCGGTCATATTGAGACTTATGTTTATCTAAATTTATCTCTCAAATTACATGGCAAAAGCAATATGGTGTTGTAGTTAGATAATACTATTAATTCTACGTGTATAAATTCTCCTAATTTACAACGCAAAGATAATTCTTGCAACCTTGCTGAGGGTATCATCTAGTAACTTAAGTTCGAATAGCAAATTGTTTAACTTGAGGCGCCAACTGTAGAGAAGGGGTGGGCAATGGTGGTGGGAGCGGCGGCATCAACGACATCATGCACGGGAGAGAAAAGAGAGAAGGACGTGAGAGAGGAAAAAATTGAGAATAAATATTTTGTCCATTTACATATAGGTTGTAAATGTGAGGAGGGATTAAAAGGGAGATATTTTTCTCACTCTTGCCGCATGAAAGCACATCTCTCCTAAAACCTGAAAACTCGTTGTCTTGATCCCTTATATATAAGGGAAGAGAAAAAAAGGAATTCGGTGGAGATACTCCGAGGAGTTGGTTTGCTGGTTAACACACAATCAGCATAGTAGATCCAAACACGCCATCTAACAGCTTAAAATGAGCTACTCGCTAATAAAAAAAAAGCTATTTCACCAAGCTACATAATAGTAAATCAACTCAACAAATAGGCACGCTAATAAAAAGCCATTAGCTAGCTTCCCCTGTTGGTAGCTAACGAAACGAAGCGTGTGACGCCACAATGATTTGTCAGTCGATCGATCATAGTGGCGTTACAGGTCCACAAATCCAGCACCGTACCAGAGTACTTTGGAGATATCATACCACGCTGTCCACGCTGGTAGGTTATGTAGTGCACAAGTCAAGATTAAGCCTTTGTTTAGTTGGAGAATTTGGATTTTGGAATTTCTTATAAGCACGTTCGTTTTTATTTGGCGAATAGTGTTCAAATATGGATTAATTAAACTCAAAACGTTGATCTCGTAATTTCCCAAACCAAACTGTGCAATTAGTTTTTCTTTTAAATCTACATTTATCTGCACGGCCACAAAGCATTCGAGCGTTCGATGTAATGATCTTATGTGAACTTTTTTGGAAGTTAGGGTGGAATAGCCGCAAGGCGTAAGTGCGTGAATGTGTGATATGATAGGGTACGGTTGTTGCGAGCATTCAGGCCTTGCCGGGCCCAACAAGCTGATCCAGCGTGTAGTCAAAAAAAAAAAAAACCGGATCGGAGTGTGGAAACGACAAGACGAGAAGCCGCGGTGCGCAAGTCAGCAAACGCGTACGTTACGTCGTCTCCGGTGCCAGCTCGTCGTGAAATTAGGCAGCAGGTGGGGTAGTATAAAGTTGGTTGGGCGTTGGGTTATTCCTCGTCTCCGGCGCGGCTGCTTGACGGTTGGTCCGTCCGTCTCTCAGCCTCTCCGGTCTCCGGCGAGGTGCGCCGCAGGGTCTGCGCTGGCAGCTCAGCACAGTGTTCAGTGATCACGATCAGCAGCCTTCGCAAGGACCACCAGACGGTTTCCTCACTCCAGCATCTCGGGGCTGGGCTATAGGCTCTTGTTGTGCATGCGATAGACAGGTCAATATTAGGTCCCATCTGTGTGATGGGCTGAGATTTCGGTTCACCGAAGAAAGGCCTAATAACGAAGGAAATGGGATTATGGGAGCATGGGTGCATGGCGCGCGGACTAGTGTATCTGGCGCAGCCATCTGGAGTCTCACACCTCCTCGCTCTCTCTCTCAGATAAAAAAAGAGCCTGGAGCCTTATACCACTCCAAACGATGTCTTTTACTATATTTTCTTATTGCATGAACCTATAGTACGTGTCATTGGCCCTATTCGTTTTGCTAAAAAAATCATGACTAAAAGTATTATTCGCTGATTTGCTGTGAGAAAAATATACTATGTGTTCATTTGAAATAAATGCGGCTCATAACTTAGCGGCCAAT